GAAATATTGGGTGTTCGTATAATTATGAACCGCACTTTAGTAGAGAAACGAAAACCATTTTCCGTTTAATACCACCAAAACATTACGCTTTTTCTTTACATAACAAATGCTCCGATAGCTTACGAACAAAGTTTTTTACACCAAACATGTTTAAATGAAATTTTTCTAGTCTGAAAAAATTAGTGTTCTTTCACTTTGTGGTACATCTCTACCTATCACTGCGCATGTTTTCAAAACTTTTGCATCGTTTAGAGTTTTCTAAAATGAATTTACAAAGGAGGTGAATCTCTTTAGGAGATTTTGGAACTGAATCCCTTATCTTTCAAGGCGCTTTATAAAAAACAAATAACTGCGGAAACAAAAGAAAAGCAAAACATACGAGAGGTGTATAAAGTTTCCTGCTAACATGTCTTGTAGAAGTGTAGAAGTGGGAGTGGGCACAGAGAAAGGTTGTACAGGAATAGGGATGGTACTTTTTATTATAGTGTTTCGACATGGCCGGGCGAAGCCGACTATGCTAGCTAATGAGGTATAACGGGGCGTAAGGATCATTGTTTACTACCACTGTGAACCAATGTGATGTAGCAGTAACGCGACGCATGTACTGAGGTCTTACAGGACCTCTGCTTCGGACGATCGTGGACTTGATGAACCTCAAAATCAAGTGCTACGATGCTAATGTCAGTCTAGAAAATTGTGCTTGGATCAAGAATATCAAATATTACGCTTATTCGGCGGTAAGCTTACCATTGGTAGATAGCTCAATATAAAGACTTTTCGTAATGTTCTGAACTCGTCTTTTGCAACGAACGTTCTCTAGCATGACACTACAGTGGCAGCCCTTTTGGCAACTTTTGGAGATGAAACGGATGTAATTCGTGGTGGTATGCCCAAGTACACCGCGTCTGTGGCCTTGGAGCTCTGGCAGCTTGAAGAGGGACCCGCTGTGAGGGTAAGAATATCAGGCAACATACAAATTCGCCGTCTCCTGTCATTTTTAACGATGTTTCAAGAGATTCGACAACCTCAAACTTGAATTCTTCATCTTTAAGGTTTTATTCCACAAGGCATTCCATCACGGTTATCATCCAATCACCCATCTAATCAAGGGCTGTCCTGAGGATAAGGAGTTTTGCCCATTTGAGGTACTCATTCTTCTAAATTAGAATCGTTCAATAGTTTACTACAGACGTTTGAACACCGAAGCCTCAAATTCATGCCGTCGGATATTGGGAAGGAGTGTCAACGAAAGGAAAGAAGCAACCGAACCAAGCCAGCGCACAGAATCCGTAATAAGATGTGGCGACTTGCATTTTGAATATGCTTTGCAACATCAATTGTTTACGTGGATAGTAAAAAGATATGTTTCAACATATGCATGCGAAAGAGATAACAAGTTTGCTACTTGAATCAGCTACAAATCTATTGCACTGCTTTCGTCAATGTGTCAATTAGTCAGTAGCTAGTAGGTAAGCTTCAGTCAGGATTGATCAAGAGATGTGGCAACCGCCGCATACAAACCCCGTAACTTCTGTCTCAACATCCCCCCTCCCGCTCCCCTGCGTTGGCGTTTTAAAACGTAGACACGACATAAAGGCTCTAACAAGATTAATTAATAAATACTCGTAACTATCATGTCAAATAACACTTGTAGGCCAAGTGTTAGCGAATTCTGAAGGTTCTTAACATTAGGCCACTCAGTAAAGTGACTATTCGCAAACACGGTTTATATTTCAAAAAGAATTACCTGCTTTTTTTGTACACATCACAAAGCAATACATCCTCTTTGTCCATATCCTTCTTCAAATACCCATAACTCCGGAATCAAGAGCCAGCAACAATCTCATTGGTCCCATTTTTCGTTTACAGTGGTGTGCTTCCATCAACTTGAAGGAAGAAGACGAATTCAGCGCTTATCACTTATACAGAACTAAGAGACCTTTAAACTGTATGAATTTCGTTCACTAGAATCCTCTTTGGAGGTAAGTTAATGGGGTGTGGCACAATCCCTAAAAAGCTGTGGATGCCACATCTTCTCATGGGTTGTGCCACATTCCATTAGCTTACCTCCAAGGCATTCAATCTGTGCTTTTCGTATCATTGCCACAGCTAAACCTTCTTTCCTACATCGTAGAAATTCCAAAACCGTGCTAGGGAAAGGTATATTTCCCTTTTTTTACCTATGCAGATGAAAAATACTGCAAAAATATTAGGTTAAGGTAACATGTTAGGTCTGCACTAACTAGGTAAATCTCGGTGAAGGCATCAAGATTATATATCGTTGATTCCTCACTGCGGAGAACGCGCCGCGAGATAGAACGCTTGCTCCAGCACAAATTGCCGTTGTACAACCCGTGCTCTTGCAACATTTATGCCGCGCCGCGCGTGGTCCGCAGCGTTCGAGCAGTCCGTGCGGTCAACGAATCAACAATATATTCGATAGCTTGAACCCGTATTCATGCCGTCAGGCAAGTTTTCACTAGAACGTGTCAGAAGACAGCTAACCCTGCCTTTTCAGGCGGAGTTCAGTTGAGCAAGGTCACTTTTAAGGACTGTAGGATTTCTCTGCTTAATCACGGGGATACTGTGCATGTGAAGGGCCCTTCATGAATTGCTTCTGGAAACTCTTCGAACTAGCAAACTACCGACGAAGTAACAAAATAACTTGATGTAAGAATAGATTTGGAAGTCGGTGACTTTGATTTCGGATTGTTAGAACACTTCAACAATTGTTCTCTGAATGTGTATGCTTGGAGTGGCAACAACCCAAATGTGTTCCTCCCAATTGCACTGTTAAGCGGGGCAACTGCATAATTAATGCTTTTTTCAGTACTGTAGCGGTGCTTACTGTAAACAGCAGACTTTCTTATGATCTAAGTGCCGTAAAACAACGCAGTAATATCTCAGCATGTGAAGCAACTACGTATAAGGGCTAGATCTGGTGACCAGCTGCAAAAATCGTATTCTTCAGCATACTAAAATATTACGATAGAGCTACATCAACAGAGCTATATATAAATGTACCTGATATTTTCCGATGGCGTGGCAACTAATACCTTCAGGAGCTTTTTTGAAAAATATGTTACCCGTCCATGACACGCTAAGTACCATAGACAACCTATTTCTATTATGCTCCGACACTGTGAAGAAATGCACGAATCTCTCATTAGCTGTCACAAAACAGCCTTTACAAGATTTGCCAGATACGGTCTCTCAAGTATTAGACAAAAAGTACTTGAGAGACCGATGATGATGTATATGCCTTTGTACGCTTATAATCCAGCACTGAGGAATGTGAAGCTCCATATATGCACATATACAGCATGAAAGTGCCTTCAACAGCGCCATATGTTGCCACAGGTGCGGTTCGATCACGTAAGTGGTAAGATGGATTTGGCATCCGAAGCAGTTGCCAGTATGTACCAAAAGTTGTACATTAGAGACTATAGACTATTGAGACTACTTTACGATAGCACTCAACAAACTCGGATGGCGCGCCCGATACAGTTACTCGCTTAATGATTTGGACAACATATGGGGAGATTGAGATCATGAAGAGTTTGTCTCAACTCATGGTATCGTAGCATAATTGATTGAAGTGGCGTCAAGTTTTTCCTGGAAATTGCGCACATCTACTGTACACTTCTTGCTAAATGATCACAAATGTTACTACAGTTTAAAGTCAAAACTTAGTAAGCGTCGTAAGAAAGACTCAGCTAATCTAGAAAGTCCGAATATAGTATGCAGCTGCAACCTTCTACGATGCTGGAGATGGGGACGCATTTCCAAATAAGTAGTCTCTCACATAACAGCAGCAAGCGTGTAGGCAGCAAAGTACTAATTGACTGCAAATGGTTGATTCTATTTAGATTTCGATGTAGTCCAAACAGTTTCGTAAAAAAATTTCTCTGAGGGAGTTTCTAGACGCACTCTTTTTCAGGAATTCCGCGATACTTAAAAATTTATAGGAAAGTCACTAGGTAGGACCCCCCCCCCTCCGTCATTTGAAAAAAAATTCTTTTCTTTTTTCTCTTCCAGAGCACCAATCTCCGTGATGTCACTAGGCACTTCCGGTTTGTTCGAATTTGCTGATGTCCCTAACCGTTTTCCAATAAACCAAAGTCTATCAATGGATATATATACAATTCGTAAAATTGCTACGCAGATGTAGGCTAATGT